ATTTTGTGCACCAGGCTTCTAGTTTATAATATTTGCTGTGTCCTTTTAAGACAGAAGAAGGAAAAAGGCAGGTACAACTTGGCTTAGTTATTTTCTACAATGGGAATGGCACAATAATGACCCAATCTGTAGTTAAATGATCTCAAATGGAATCAGGAGATTTGTTATATAATATTTTGGGGGGATGGCCTGGAGTAGAGGATTGGAGAGAGTTGGATACTGTTGTATCCTTACAAAACATTTGTTCATTTATGAAACAAACATTCATAGGCACTGTAGTAGGCACAGAGTTTAGATCCTAAGCTTTTTGCTAACTTTAAACTGAAAAATATTTTTGCTTTAGAAGATTACTAATTTTATGATGTGCTATTTTTTGTTTTGTTAATATAATAATAGTAATACTTTTAGAGAATTTTATATAAATTTTCATATTTTATCACATTTAGAAATTTAAATTTATGTATAAGCTGTCATTGCAGTTAGTTAGAGAAAGATTGATTCACTTAAAGAGCCAAGATAAGAATTCTTTCTTGGAAGCTATTTTTTTTGTAATTACTAAAAATAAGCTAAAATGCTATATGCCTGAAAAGTTGTTTTTAAATTTTTGGCAAGTACTGTTTTTCTTAAAATTAATGTAGACTCTTTAAGGAGACAGGTTTTTGTCTCACCAAATAGACTCCTTGATGTTTTTCTTTTCTGATCTTTTTATAGAAACAGATACGATTTGCTGGACACTATGTCCTCTTGGCAACAAATGGTGGTTCAGTAGCAAGACAAGCATCAGAGAAAGAATGTAAAAATAATAACTTATTTTCAACACTACCTCATTTATCAGTGCTCAGGGAAAAATAAAACCTAGAGCAACAGAAACAAACAAAATAAACACAATCTCCGCTTTGGACTCTACCTTTTCTTAAGGTTCTGCTGTCTCCCTATTTTTATTTTGCCTTATGATTTGATGAAAACAGTTATCAAGTTCACTCAGTGTTTCCTGTTTCTTCTATCATTGATATTCTGGCTCCTATTTTCATTCCTATGCTGAAGTTACTCTTGGTATTGAAATTCCCTTCACTGCAAATGCTATTACCTCTCCCCCCTCTCCCCACCCCCCACCCAATTTTCAGCCCCATTCAGTCTTTATAGCCCATCTCAAATGTCATTTTTTCTCTATAAACTTAATTGAATGAACATTCAAATACTTGTCATGTTCAGCACTCATATCATTTGTACATTTAACTTATTTGAATTCAACTAAAGTTGAAAAAAACATCAAACGAGGGAGAAAAAATAGCAAAGAATTCTTCTCTTCCCCTATAAAGTGTTTTCAAAATAACATCATTGCCAAAAGGAAGCCAACTATTTTATCTGGTTTTCCACAGAACAGTAATCTATTCCAATGCTAGAGGAAAATCTAGCTGAATTGGATTTATACAAAGATATTACAGTTTGCACAGAACAATGTACTATACTTTATGGGTTTATGTTAAGGATTTTTGAGGGGTTATTTTGAACAGTTTTTACCTTACTCTAACTTTAGAATGTAATCTTTGTGTAAAATGTGACTTGACTACTACAGCTCTGTTGAACTTGAGTCAGTCACAACATTTAGAACCCTTCTGGATAACATTTGGATCTCTTTTGAATGTTGGTATAGAACTATCTGAGGCAGAGATAACTAGTTTAATTCATTTTTGTCTTTATTTTTGCATTTTGGGGGGAGATAAATCTATATGAATGCAATAATGGTCACAATAGGTAAAAGCAGGAGAAAATGCTATGGCTTTTTATTTCATGTTCACCTATGTAGTTTGAGATGCTTGGCTTTTTTCTTTTTAATGTACAGACCTTAGTCCATTAAAAACATTTTTATTGACTCTAGAGAGAAGAAAAGAGAGGGGGAGAAAGATAGAAAAAAATAGATGAGAGAATTATCAACTGGCCCCCTCCTGCATGGCCCCTACTGGGGATCAAGTCTGCAATCCGGACATTTGTCCCAACTGGGAATCAAACTGGTGACTTCTTGGTGCATGGGCCATTGTTCAACTATTGAGCCACACCAAGCCAGGCAAACACTTGGCTTTTTTAAAATCAATCGTATGTGACCACAAAGATATTGTTGCATTTAGTTTCCATATGAGCCGTAATAGTTCTACTCCAATGCAAAGGAATTTATAGAAATCTTTTTTTAAACATGCAGAGTTAGGTTGTAATTATATTTGAGATGCTTTAATGATAGTAATATTTTAAAATATATATTATTTCCTCATTTTCCTCTAACATTTTAAATTTCTAAATGTGTTACATTTTATTTTTGAAGTTTTTTTTTCTCAAGAAATAGTTTATATTGCTGTAACAATAAGAATTGCAAAACAGAATTGATGTATTATTATTATTATTATTACTTTAAATGTTTTTATTGACTTCTGAGAGAGGAAGGGAGAGGGAGAGATAGAAACATTAATGATGAGAGAGAATCATTGATCGGTTGCTTCCTGCATGCCCCTTACTGGGGATCAAGCCTGCAACCCTGGCATGTTCCCTGACTGGGAATGAAACTGTGACCTCCTGGTTCTTGGGTTGACACTCAACTACTGAGCCATACCGGCTTGGCAAGTGGATATATTATTAAAGAGCTTTTTTCTTTCCCTGTGGTAATTTGAAGATTAAATGGTGTATGTTGTAAAGATGGGATTGCAAATATATTTATTTACTAAAGCCTTAAGGTAACTTCAGTGCAGTCAATTTGATGACATTAGAAACAATTGATAGAAATAGTTTTGGAGACTTGACTTGGGCAAATGAGAGTACAGTTCTTTTAGGGCTATTTGACTTTTAATTTATTTAACAAGAAGCTTAAGCCCAACTAAGTGGTTATATATTATTCTTTGGTGTTTTAAAGCATAACTTACATATTTGAATGGAACTGATCATTATTGAAGAGCTAGAAAAATATAGTGCTGTTCTTAGTGTATTCAGGATGAAACCTTAAATTCTGGAAAAGCTTGTTTTCTTTGAGAAATAACATTTTTGGGGAAAGTTGGTAACCTCACTATTGGGCACCATATTTTAAAAGACAAGAAATGCTGGATTCCAAAATGATGGCAAAGTAGAAGCTATATTGACACTCTCCCAGTGGAAATACAACAAAAATACAGAAGAAACACCTTGAAAAATCAGCTGAGGACTAGTTAGAGAGAACATTGACAATGAAGGACAGAAAGTGGAAACTGCGTAGAGACTGGTAGGAAGGGCAGAGGCATGAAAGGGCTGGCGAGGCTCCCACAGGCAGCAGCTGAAGTCCCAGAGAGATATCTCAGCTGTGGAAGAGTTCCCACTGAGAACTCTGGGTGTCTAAATCCCAAGCTGGGCCCCCCAGCCCAGAGCACAGAACTGAGAAAGGTGCCTACATAACATCTGGCTTTGAAAAGCAGCAATGTTGCTGTCTGCCAGCAAGAGACAGCTGGAAATGCAGGCACCTCTTAGTTCTCAGTGGGAACCCCCCACACCTGAGATATCTCTCCAGAACTTCAGCTACGGTCTGTGGGAGCCCAGCCAGCCCTTTTGCAACTCCACACTTCTTACCAGTCTCTATGTGGTCTCCACTTTACATCCTTGGTTATTAGGGTTCTCTCCAACTGGTCTTTAGTTGATTTTTCAGGGTGGTTTTTCTGTATTTTAGTTATATTTCCACTTACTCCATCACCATTTTGGAATCAAGCATCTTTCCATGTTCTCATTTGCCATTTGTATATTTCCTTTGATAGTCTATTAAAATCTTTTTAACTCTAGAAAAAAAATTTTGAGCTTAAAATTTTTTCTTCAGTTATAACGTTACTTTGCATATATTTTAGATACAAATTCTTTTGTGTTTTCTTTTTGATCCTCACCTGAGGATATGTTTATTGATTTTTTGTGGGAATAGGGAGTGTAGGAGGGGGAGAGAGAGGAGAGATCAGTTAACTGCCCTCTAGTTTGTGCTTAGACTTGGGATTTAACCTACAACCTAGGTATATACCCTGACTGGGAATTGAAGCTGCAACCAGTTGGTATACAGAGCAATGCAAACAAACAAATAGTCCAATTAAAAAATAGGCAGGAGTCCAGCTGGTGTGATAAGAGTTTTTTTTATCTTTTCCAACTAAAACTCTTGCACCCATTAAATACTAACACCTCATCTCTTGGCTCCCCCTAACCTCTGGCAACCATCATTCTACTTTCTGGCTCGATGAATTTTACTACGTTAGAATCTCCACAGAATCGGAATTATACAATATTTATCCTTTTGTCACTGGCTTATTTTACTTAGCCTCATGTCTTCAAGCTTCATTCATGTTTTAGCATGCTTCAAAAAAAATTTTTTTAAGGCTGATAAATAATAAACTTTTTAAAAATTGATTAAAGTATTATATATGTGTCTTTATCTCTCCATTTCCCCCCAACGCTCCCACTCATGCCCTCACCACCCTGTTGTCTGTGTCCATTGGTTAGGCTCATATGCATGCATACAAGTCCTTTGATTGATCTCTCTCTCTTACCCCCAACATCGCCTACCTTCTCTCTGAAGTTTGACGGTCTGAAGGATGCTTCTCTGTCTCTGATTCTGTTTTTGTTCATCAGTTTATGTTGTTCATTATTTTCCATAAACGAGTGAGATCTTGGGATATTTATTTTTCTCTGACTGACTTATTTCGCTTAGCATATTGTTCTCCAGTCCCATCCATGCTGTTGCAAATGGTAAGAATTCCTTCTTTTTGTGTAGATGTACCAGTTTTTTTTAAGCTGATGGGCATTTAGGCATGGTAAATTGTGCTGTTATGAACATAGGGGTACATATATCCTTTCTGATTGGTGTTTCTAGTTTCTTGGGACATATTCTTAGAAGTGGGATCACTAAGTCAAATGAGAGTTCCATTGGTTAGTCCATTTTTAAAAATGATCCAATTAAGTATTAATGTGAAAGTAATATTAAGAGATATTGCTTTCCTTCATTTTTCTAACAGAGTCAGCATATTTCATTAGCACCTATTCAAAAGCTTGAAGAAGCTCTATATGAATACCAACCACTGCAAATAGAGACATGCGGACCACAAGTTCCTGAGTTTGAGATGCTAGGAAGACTTGGGTAAGTGCCCCAAAGAACTTGAGTAGCTGATGTTTAGTGCTTTGTTTTTACCATTTTGAGTTGACACACTAATGTTATTAAATTTGAGTTTATGGAATTTCATACTCTTTTATAAAAAAGAATGGTGCTTTGCCCAGCTGGTGTGGCGTGAAGGAGGCAGCAGATTAATGGTTCTCTCTCATCATTGATGTTTATATCTCTATCTCCCTTCCTCTCTGAAAGCTATAATAAAAAGGAATGATGCTTAATACTAAGCTAATAGTTTTTTGTTTTTTTTTAAAACTATTTCGTTAGTATTTTTTGAGATTGAAATTGGATTGTATTAGTTCCCTTTTAAGGCTTTCCTTGGCAACCTTATTGAAGTAGCTGTTTATTTTTTAGAAAGAGGGCTTTAATTTAGTCTGTAGTAAGCCAGTAAAAATATGAGAGTTGAGCTCCTTATCATGAAAAAGAGTAGATTTACTTACTGAATGCTGTATACAATGAAATAGTATTATGAGAAATAAGTCACAAAATACATTTTGTGAAAAGATATATTGTAGAGCTGGCCAATGACTCAAAAGTTATATGCATCCATTTTGAAAATGAATGTGGGATTGTGTCTTTTGTGAGGTTTAGAGATGATCACAGTCTTTCTCAGGAGTATAGGTAGGTATTTGTATACAGGCACAGACTTTGTTGGATGGAGCAAATCTATTTTGTTGTGGTGTTTCAACATAGATTATTGAATGAAAAGATCCAGTATTGGTTGTTTTCTAACAAAATAAAATGTAAAGTTGTAATGTGAATAAAAAATAATTACTATGAAACCAAGTAATTAAAAAAAGATCCTAACAGCAAAAACAAGATAGATGAAAAAATAGATAAAATCAATATGAGTCTTCAAAATAAAAATCAAAGTCTTGAAGATGATACATGGTATTTTGCATATGGCCATGGAGGCTCCAAAGGCAAATTACTATTAAAATGATAGATAATTTACTTATTTGTGATTTGGTAGATCTTATGATTTTCTTTAGTGCTGTGTGCTCTTAATGTCCTGCAATCTCCAAGCATGAAGCCAAGGGACTCTGAAACAAAATCTAAAATGCCATTTGAGTCTGAGATAACAAATTCATAAAAAAATTGCCCTAAATACTAAAACTGTAGCTTGAGGAGACAGTCGATATAAGGTTGTATGATGTAAAAAGTTATAAGTGAAATAGACATTGACATCTTATCTCTTAAAATATTTACTTTTAAGTATTTAAAATAGTACTCTTCTGTTACATATTGATTTTCCAATAATTTTGTTATCAAAATTACATTTGAAAGATCATAGAAATAGCCTTGCATAATAACAATGCACAAGTAAAATGTATGAAAATAATTAATACAAAGAGGTAAAACTCTGCTATTGAAATGATCTTATACTATGTGTGGAGTGGTATAATAGTATCTGGAGATAGACTATAATAAGTTAAAGATGTTTAATATAAACCTTAGAACAACTACTAAAAATGTAAAAGCAAGTGGGATAGTCAATAATTCAGTATCAGAGAAAATAATAAGATCATAGAAATACTCCGTTAATGAAATAGAGGGCAGGAAAGGGGGGGGAAGGGAGGAAATAAATGGGACAATTAAGAAACAAATAGCCGAAACCGGTTTGGCTCAGTGGATGGAGCATCGGCCTGTGGACTGAAAGGTCCCAGGTTCGATTCCGGTCAAGGTCCCAGGTTCGATTCCAGTAGGGGGTGTGCAAGAGGCAGCTGATTGATGATTCTCTCTCATCGATGTTTCTAATTTCCTATCCATCTCTCTTCCTCTCTGTCAAAAATCAATAAAATATATTAAAAAAAAGAAACAAATAGTTTGGTGGCAGATTTAATATTAATTATATCAGTAATTACATTAAATGCAAAAGTTCTGAACAAACACCATCCAATAAAACTTTCTGAAATGATGGAAATATTATGTCAATGCTATTGAAGATAGTAGCCACGTGTAAAATGTTTCTACAGAGCACCTGAATGTGTCTAGTGCAATAGAATTGAATTTTAAGTTGAATTCTATGGAGAGCAGCAACAGCATTCAGACAGGATCAAGCCTCGGACTGACTTGTGGCAAAGCCACATACAAGTTCCAGCTTGGAGGGCAAAGCCCACTCAGCATGATTATAGCCAAAGGATGTATGTAGGCTTGACCTTATCTAGTAGTCCGACCCTGCAGTCCTAGGTAGCTGAGGGATGTGGGCTGTAAGGGGTGCAGTAAGTGCTTGATCGAGTTCAGAGATGGCAACAACAGGAAAGAAGCAGATTTGGAATTTGCAAGAACATTGTAAACATCTTGCCCTTGTTTTGCTTTGTGTGATCTGATTGTGAAATAAAGCTTTAGCTTACAGGCTGGGTCACTGTTTCCTCATCTAGGCACAACGATCCACCTGGTCCCAACTGTATTCTCTTGTCTGTTTTCTTTAATCCTTCACTGCCCCTGTTTAGGTTCACCCCTGGCCGTGCTGTTAATTTCCAATATGATTTAAATAAACACATATGGCTGTGGCTATCATATTGGATAGCACCGGATCTAAATACTCCAAATAATAAGCTGAGTTTATCAGATTAGATTTTAAAAAGTGATACTATTTGAAGCCATAGACTTTCTTACTTTTTTTCCCCTTACTATTCTAGATGTAATTTAGAAATTATAATTTTGTTATAATTTTCAGAAATATTTATAGAGAGACTGGAGAAGTTGCCCTATGAAATGATTTTTCAGAGAATGATTTGTCATCCTCAAAGGTGCTGCTCTTAAGGTATCAGGAATATTAACTTAAGATGCCTAAAGGTGTAATTATTACATACCTGTCCCAAGAGTTGGTCCACATCTTTGCTAGAAGATTATATCTAATAAGTTCCAGTTATCCCTTTACAGCAGGTTTTCCCCCTCTAGCTTCTATCCTCTTTCTTTTTATTCCATTCTATATTATATTATTCTACAGAGGGAACAAGTTTAATTTTCTGTAGAGGCAAATAGAAAAAAAATTAACTACCTCATTTTCATTTTCTTATATCTGCTCTGAAATCTTTATGGTGTGAAGTTAAGAATAGTACACTTGTACTTTCACTTTGTTGGTGCAAGACCATGGATGCAAGCACTTTCAAAATAATTTTAATTATATAATTTTTAGGGTGGGTGCCATAAGGTCTTGGGAGGATGCCTCCTAAAAATTATGTTTTTGTCCTCATGTTTAACTTTGACAAAGGATAAAATCAAAAGTATATTGCTATGAGGTTTTAGGTGGTTTTCACTGAGATCTTTCCTAAAGTTAGTTAAACTTGAGCAGTAGATGAAGACTAAATGAGAATCTCTCATTCAGGAGGGTATTATGAATATATAGTTATAGTTAAGATTGCACTGACAGTACTTTTTGGATTTGCTGAAGGCAATATAAACATGTTTTATTAATTCTGTGCCAGTGAGAGCAAGCATTGGGAAAACTTAACTGCTAATTGAAATTCCCCAGACTATGACTTTAGTGGTTAGTAAAGTCTCATTGATTGGCACTGTGAGACTGTCTTTGTAATCATCAACTGGCTTTCTAGTGAATATTTTACTACCTTCCACCCAAAGAAGAATTATTCCCTTAGCTGATATAAGTTATAAGCATTGTATGGGGGGGGGGGGGGGAAGCAATGGTAAGATATGTACACATATAATACTTTAATAAAAAAGAAAAAGAAAAAAAGTTATAAGCATTTATCAACTTCATTCATCAATTTCAAAATGATTTAAATAGATATGTGCTGTTTTAAATAGATATGTGCTTTATTTTACATGAGCTGTTCATTTGTGAGCATATTAAAGAACTATGGAAAATTTTGTTTTATAAGATAAAATGTAATCTTCAAGCAGGATATATATTTTTCAGTTATCTTTTTAAAAAAATCTTTATTGTTGAAAGTATTACAGATGTCCCCATTTTTCCCTATTGCTCCCCTCCACCTGGTTCTCACCCCGCCCCAGGCCTTCACCACCCTATTATCTGTGTCGTCTATGGATAAGACATATATGCATATAAGATCTTTGGTTAATCTCTTCCTACCCCCACCTCCTTCCCTCTCGGATTCCTCAGTCTGTTCCATGTTTCTATGTCTCTGATTCTATTTTATTTATCAGTTTATTTGTTCATTAAATTTCCTGTTCGCGTATTTTGATTTAGATTCAATTGTTGATAGATACGTATTTATTGCCATTTTATTGTTCGTATTTTTAAATCTTTTTTCTCTTCCTTCTCCTCCTCCTCTTTTTCTTCCTCCTCCTTCCCCTCTGCTTTTCTTTGCTGCTTTTAAGATTCTCTGTCTTTAACCCTTGGCATTTTGATTATGATGTGACTTGGTGTGGGCTTCTTTGGGTTCCTCTTGTTTGGGACTCTCTGGGTTTCATGGGCTTGTAAGTCTATTTCTTTCACCAGATAGGGGAATTTTTCTGTCATTATTTCTTCAAATAGGTTTTCAATATCTTGCTGTCTCTCTTCTCCTTCTGGCACCCCCATGTTGCAAATGTTGGTACACTTGAAGTTGTCCCAGGGCCTCCTTATACTATCTTCATATTTTTGGATTATTTTTTTTTTTCTCTTCTGATTGGATACATTTTTGCTCAGCATCCTCTACTGTTGATTCCCTGTAAATTATTCTTCATTTTATTTAGTGTATCCTTCATTTCTGGCTGGTACTTTTTCATATCTTTGAAATTCTCACTAAGATCTTTAAAAGTCTAATTAAATTCCTTGAAGCTGTCATTAAGATCATTGAACAACCTAATAATTATTGTTTTGAGCTCTTTGTCTAGTAGTTTGCTTGCTTACATTTCTTTCATTTGTGACATTCTCTTTGTCTCCTCGTTTTGGCTGCTTCCCTGTGTTTGTTTCTGTGTATTCAGTAGAGCTGCTAGGTCTCCTGAAATTGGTAGGGTGGCCTTGTGTAGTGGGTGTCCTGTACGGCCCAGTGGCTCAGCCTCCC